TTTATTTTTTCCATTTCTTTCTTATGCTGGGCCTTCATGGCTTCTATGATGGTCCTGAGCTCATCTATTTTTCTGTCAGTTTCTGCTCTAGAGTCTCGAATCACCACTTCCATTTTGCTCACTATCTCTATGGTTATCTGGGAAATTATTTCTGTTTTGAATTTTTCTAGAGCCTTTGAGTTCAGGGTGTCCTGGTGGTTCACTATCGGCCTTTTCATCCTCATTTGCCCTACTGTTTGCCATTGGTGAACTGGAAGTCTGTCCTTGTGTCTTGCTTAAGTGTTTTCTCATTTTAATTTTTGTTGTTGGACTGTCCTTGGCTTAATCTCTGGATTATCACCCAAATCTTCCTGATATAGTTGCACCCTAGCTTCTGTGTCTCTAATGACCCACGGACATTCTCATCTTCATAACATCAGAGAAAACAGCTCATCAATTCAACGGCAATGCTTTACCCCAACTGATACAATCAGCAACACATTAAGATCAAGCACAACTTGGACACTGACCACCTGTGGTAGTCACTAGTCTATCACCCTTAAATCATTTGAATTAAATTGAAATCAAGAAGCAGTCCAGAACATGTCTGCAGTGAACAAACTTTTCAATATAGTATATTAACCATTTAATGGCTCAGACAAAGCGAGGATGCAAGACCCCTGATCTCAGTTAGCTGATTGCTGAACCCCATGACGCTGACTGACCTTGGGCTGCAAGGCCCAGATTGAGTTCCCCATCCTTCTGAATGGTTGAACTCCGCAACGTTCTATTACAGGTTTCCCCCGCCCTTTCTTTAAAGATGTTCAAAGTTGGGAACTCAGAAAAATACCCTTGATGACCACCTCTGTCTTTGCAGAGTGGGTCCAAAGACTTGCACAGTCAGGTCTGAGAGTGAGGGGGGGAGGTGGTTATGGGGGTTCAGGGGCGCCCGCTCAGCTACCTTCCTGGTGCTTGAGCGATGGCTGCTGGGTCAGGAGCAGGCGTGGTTCTCTGAACATGGACTTTTGAAATGTGAACCAAAATAAACCTCTCTTTCCTTAAATTGTGTTAGGTATTTTGTTTCAGGAAGGAAGAAAGTGATTAAGACAGAAGTGTTTGGATTTGTCTGGCATAGATCCAGTAATTATTGTATATTTTACTGGCTCAGGACTCTCTTTTTTGTGGCTTGCATCACAGTTGTCATTTATTCACTTGCTCATTCTCTATCTGGTCTTTCTCTGGACCTTAAGCTCTCTAACACATTCACAGTTCTATGTTCAGCACTTAGAATTATTCTGATACTTAGGAATATAAGAAACATTTATTGAATGAATGGAACAGAATTAGTTGGGACATTGAAAAATGATTTCCAGGTCTTGGCTAAGAACTATTTGAATTAGAATTTCCTAGAGTAGCACCTTAGAAATCTACAATTTTCTGAGACCTGAGAAACCTGTATTTCTAGAACATTCCCTGGCAATTCTGATGCAATTGGTCTACTTCTTAAATCCTAATACTGTTGCTAGTTCTTAGGATATAGTTCTTGATCTTTAGTTTGGATATTCCCTTATATGCCTCAAACTGCCTAAGAAGAGTGAGCTCATTTCCTTCCTTAAGAACCTGCTTTTCAAGATTTGTCCTTGTCCTTCACTAACTGGCCCTACCCATTTCTCCAACCTCCTTTTTCTGCCAGTTATTTCCTTGTACTTCAGTTGCATAGATTTCTTCT